AAGGAGTGGGTGGGCACGAGCAGAGGGGCGGCACACGTACCCAGGCAGGATTCGGCGGTCCCTTGCCCGCTGGCTTGGCCATTCGCCATCCTGTCTCCAGCAGCGAGCTCGGTGGAAGGGCCTCCTGACGTGAGGGCCTGCCAGGAGACCAGTGTTTTGTTTGAGGTCTCTAAGGAAACCTAGTTCGTGGGAAAGCGACGTTTGATGATGGGCTAAATTGTTTTCCAATTAATTGGGCTGCCCGGGGACCAGGGGCTGGTGAGCTGCTTTGTGAGGAAGGGAAGGTGGGAGGGTGCAAAGACTCCTGCAGGTTTAATTTCCCGTGGCGTGGGTTGTTTCGGGATGCGTGTTTGCCCTCCCCGGAGAGCAGCCCCAGGGCATGGGCTTCGGGTGCTGACGTGTTCTGCTGTGGCTCTTTCCCCGATAGCTGGGTTTGGACTTGGAGGAGCTGGAAGAAATCGAAGAAGATGCTGGGCTGGGAAACGGAGGCCTGGGCCGCCTGGCAGGTAACATGGGGAGAGGGGAGCTCCCTCCTCAGGCAGAGCACGCGGGGACGGAGGGTGGCTTGTCTGGAGGCACCGCGGCGGGACAGCGTGCAGACCTCAGCCCGCGCCCACCCCGCAGCCCTCCAGCAGCGTGGTGCCCTCCTGCCTGCTCCTGGCTGGCCAGAGACAAGCCCTCCCCAGTGAGAGCATCCCGGAGACGTGGTCTGCAGCGCAGCAGGCAGGGCTGCGCTGAAATGGGCTGGCTGGAGCCTCTCTCCTCACCTCCCCTGTGAAACCTCTCGCTTTGCGGAGGCGCCCCAGCAGCTCTCGCGTAGGCAGATTGTTGGCTGCTATTTTAGTCCGCCTGTCCCACGGGACTCTGCTGGAGATGAGAGCTCCCCAACGTGGAGGAAATGCCGGGGCTGATCCTTACCAGAGCTGCCCCGGACTGAGGGCTGGAAGGGTTTGCTTTGAAAGTGATAATAGCGAAGTGGGTGGTGGGGCAGCGAGTCGGGGTCAGAAGCCCTCCTTTACCGGGCAGCCAGGCTTAGAGCAAGGCGTGGGCACCTCTGGCAAGTTTACAAGACCTCTCACTGCGACAAGGCTGGATTTGGGTTTTTGGTGACCTGTCCTTGTCACCAGCAACGTTGGGGTGTTTGTGGTGGCTTGGCAGGACGTGCATGGGGTCCTGCTGCAGGCTGTCCCCTCTGTCCCTGCTGCACGGGGATTTCCTCTGAGCAATAGATGTTTCCAGCTGTGCTGTTTGTGGCAGGGGGTCACCCTCGTGCTCAGCATGCCGTAGCAGGTGCAGCAAGCGAGGTGTGAGGTTCCTTGCAGCGTGACCATGCTCTGCTCTTCCAGCTTGCTTCCTGGACTCCATGGCCACGCTGGGGCTGGCGGCTTATGGTTACGGCATCCGCTACGAGTTCGGTATCTTCAATCAGAAGATCGTCGACGGCTGGCAGGTACACTGGCAGACTCCAGTCACCCTTTCTCCTTCGGGTTCATGCTGCAGTGCCCACCTCTCTCTGTGGCCACACAAACGGCACTGCGGTGCCTTGGGCCGTTCGTAAATTGCGCGTTTGGGCCCGTCACCTGGTGCCACAGGCGGTGTCACTTCCCACCGCTTGTGCTGACCCCAGGGCTCTGACCGCCTGAGCAAAGAGCAGTGATGGGGGCGGCGGTGTGCGTGTGCGGCAGGCACTCACCCGGGGACACGCGCCAGCTTGTCCACGCCGGTGACCAACCCGGCAAGATGGTGTTGGAGCTCAGGCCGCAGGGCATGGCTGGGGCCAGAGGTCTCCCTGCCCGGGGCTCCACGACACAGCTGCAGCAACCCGAGAGTCCCACCCAGCCTGGCGGTGAGCGGACAAGGAGTCAGGCTGAGGACGGAGACGTGGCTAAACACCTAAAGAAGGTGTCTGGTGGAGGATGGACTTGAACATGATGGAACACGTGCAGGTGCCTGGGGTGCTGCTGCTCCTGCGAGTTCCCTGGGAGACTGGCAGCAGGAGCTTAAACAGGGACTCTCCTGTAGCATTAATGATCATAATATTTTGCAAGTGAAAACAGGCTAAAAAACTGCCCCAAGCTGGCAGGTTATGCCTGTGCATCCCTAGTGTATGCCTGGAAATGGTTTCCATTAGGAGACTTGCCTTGCTTCTGAGCATAAAGGACCTTTTGTCCCCCTAGAATAGCTCTCCATAAGTTAGGAAGGGTGAGAGGTTTGAGGGCTGTTTTTCCCTCCTTGCCCACAAAGAAACTGCAATGCTGGGCGCTACAAATGGTGAAAACGGGAAAAAAGCATCCACTGCAACTGGCTTAATGTTACTGAAAAAAGAGCAGGGGTGGTGGTGATGCTGGGTTGTGGCTCTGGCCTGCCCCGTGCCTGGCAGAGAAGTGCCTGCAGGCACAGAGCACCTCTCCCAGTGCCTCAGCCCCTCTGGTTGCTGGTGCACATCCGCCTCGGTGGCTCTGCTGCATTCACTTCACTCCCGTCAGTGCAGTTGTGAGCAGAGAGGAGAAGTCCTCTCTGGTGGAGGGCAGAGCAGACAGCAAGACGGGTTACACGAGGTGGTTCGTGGCCAGGAACGGCACCGGTGGGCTTCTAGGGAACCACATCCCACATACCCCGCTATCATGGTCAAACTGGTTGTAAAGCCCTTGAGACAGACTGACTGCAGGGCTCCGTGCAGTTTGGATGGTTTAAACTGTACAGGTCCGCAAATCACATAGAGGCTGATTTCTTTCTACCAGCCGGGATGTAGTCATCCAGGTTTCGAAAAGCCCAGCTGTCCTCTAGAGGCCTCTGTGTATCCGTTTTTAAAGCCAGCTTACTAAAGCTTTGCTTTTAAGCTGGCCTCCCTTCGGAGAGCCTGGTTTAGCCTTCGCTTGGAGACGCAAGCCATCGCTTGAACTCCGTTTGCCTCTTGCAGGTGGAGGAGGCCGATGACTGGCTGCGCTACGGCAATCCCTGGGAGAAAGCTCGCCCAGAGTACATGCTCCCCGTGCACTTCTACGGCCGCGTGGATCACACCCCCGAGGGCGTGAAGTGGATCGACACCCAGGTACCAGCATCTGTCTCCGTGCTGGACTAGAGGAGGATGGGCCAGGGTAACGCGCAGGGGGAGAGTCCGTCGCTGAGCTGGTCAGACTTTGCTTCTCTCCCGGTCTGGCAAAACTCTCTCTGCTACCCTTGCGATTCTGGAGGTGACTTTGTTGGCTACAGCTGCAGCAGGATTTGAGGAAGAAGAGGAATGATGTTCAGTCACAGCTGTAGCTTCATATCAGTTGGGGCCTCCTTCTCTGCTAATCTCCAGGGTGAAGCCCTGCAGTCCTGCATGGATTTGTGTAGGAGGAGGACTGTATCCCTGGCAGCTGTGCTAGGCTCCTTCCGCACTGCTCCTGGCTACCGCTCACTCAAACCCAGTGGTTTTGCAGGTGGTTCTGGCGCTGCTGCTGTGAGTGGAGATTCGTCTCGTAGGGTGGCCATGGAGTAATCCTGTGGGCGTTTAACTCCCGTGGTCAGAGCAAGTTCCTCTTTCCCAGACCTGCCTGATGGGTAAAGTGCTGTCAGGGGAGGCTGGAGGCATGGTTTCAAGTCTCCAGTCTGTCTGGAGGCCTTGTTTTGTGGCATTGTGGGGAGCAAACGCTTCTTCAGCCTCCCACGGCTGGGGAAGTAGTGCTGTGCTTCAGGAGCACGTCTCTGCTCAGAGCACAGGCTGCTGTGTTGCAAATGCGTTCCAGTCTCAGCTGGGGAAGGCAAGCTTTAAAGAGGCACAGATTTATTAAGAGGATTGAAGTTGTTTCAGCCTCTCCTGTCTAAGCACTGCCCAGGGTAGAGGAAGGAAGGACTATGAATTTCTCTGGGATTCAGGGACATAACCTAGCCTTGTTCCCATGATGTTCAAGGGTCTCAGCCTGATGAGCCAGCTCTGTCCATCCGAGGAGCGCACAGGCATAAAGCCAAGCCATCCTCTTCAGCACCAAGAACTGAAGCTCAGCTGCAGTTGCCTGGGCCTGCTCAGCGGAGAAATAAACCAGGTCTTTTAGCAGGGACCCTGGTTGTCGAAGGCTGTGCAGTGACCTTGGCCATTACCCAGGACACAGACAGTGCAGGGCTTCAACACCACGGCCCCGTGAACAGCGTGGAGGCACCATGCCAGAGCTCTCTGGGGAAGCAGACATCCACCTGAGGACCGAGTGCCATTGTGTTTCAGTGTGCTCCTCTTCTGACCCTGGCAGCAGTCGGGGGTTTCAGGGATCCCAAGCAGCGCAGTGGAAACACTGCTTCCTGCAAGGACATGGATTTTCAGATAGTGCCGTTAAGGGAACAAGTTGGAAAGGCTCAAAAAAGCCAAAGACGCAGTCTCCAAATATAGCATCGTTCAGTTCACGTGATGCGTGCCCCAGTCCCGTGGCTCAGGCAGGGCAGGCTTTCTGCCTGCTTCCTTGTTCGGAGCTGGTAATAGCAGCTTTGAGAGCCTGAGCTCTTGCTGATTCTCCCCCGAGGGGAGGTGTTGCTGATGCCAGCACGAAGAGGCTGTTCAGGGCCAGCATGCTGATCTGCCTGGGTTTTCCCTGCCCTGTGAGCACAGCTCCTTCAGTTCTCTCCTGCCTCTCACATCTTTGCTTGGGGACAGCCCCTGGCTGCCGGGCTGTCATGCCAGTGCACACTGACTTGTTCAGGAGGGTGCTGGCTCCTTTCGCCAGCGCCAGAGAGGCAGCCCAGGCTCCATGCTGCAGGATCAGGGCCTTGCTCTGCAAGCGTCGTTCAGCTCTGCTGGCGTAAGCCCTCAGCCTCTTTGTTCCAGGCAGAGGTCAGGGAGTCAGTCCAGCAGAGGGCTACGAGGATGATGAGGGGACTGGAACATCTGCCCTACGAGGAGAGGCTGAGGGAGCTGGGCTTGTTTAGCCTGAAGAAGAGAAGGCTGCGAGGGGACCTTATAAATGCTTCTAAATATCTGAAGGGTGGGTGTCAGGAGGATGGGGCCAAAGTCTTTTCAGTAGTGCCCAGCGACAGGACAAGGGGCAACGGGCACAAACTGAAGCATGGGAAGTTCCATCTGAACATGAGCACAGAGGCCCCTTCCAACCCCTCCCATTCTGTCATTCTGTGATTCTGTGGGGTGCCTTGCCTTGCTGCTCGGCAGGTCTGGAGGCATGCAGATGTTGGCACAGCAGCGAGCTGGAGCACACAAGCTTGGAAGCCTTGCCTGGCTAGTGTAATCTGAGCTGGGAGCCCCAGTGTTACTCCCTCTAGCCGTGTGTGCAGCATCCTGATGCTTAAGCATCATCCGTAGGCTGCACTAATAGTTTTGCACTCACCTTCAGTTTGGGCGCTGGAGATCTTGGTGGATTTACCCAGACAGGTTCAACAAACCTTGGCCACTGGGTGAATTGCTCTGGGATTGGTGCTGTGGTGGTAGGGTTTGGTCCTGGCAGGCTGCGGAAGGCTAACCGGCAGGATTCAGGCTGTGGAGTTTATCCCAGATGGAAACACAAAGGTCCCAGCTGCCCTGGCCCGACCACAGCACAGATGGAGTCACGGTGGCCAGGTGAGGATGTTTGCGATGCGCTGGTGAATAACTAATAGGCACACCTGTTGGTATAGGAAGGTCAGCAGGTTGCTTGCATCTCTCTTACGTTTCCTTGATGGGCTTGTAACTCCAGTTTGTCAGTGAAAGCTCCAAACAGTTCTGCTTCTGCTCTTAATGCTTTGCCAGTGGGTGCTCGAAGTGCCCATGATGCAGGGAAATCTGTGAAGCTCAGCAGGTGTGTTTTAGTGGGGTGAGATCCTTACCACAGCCAGGAGCTGTCTTTGTCCTCTGGATTCTTCCTGTAGAGGTTTCAGCCACTTTCCCACCTTCTCTGAGGCCACCGTGCTGCTAATCAGAGGGGAATACTGTTCTTCTGCAGGTTGTCCTTGCTATGCCTTACGACACGCCAGTGCCCGGGTACAAGAACAACACTGTGAACACCATGAGGCTGTGGTCTGCAAAAGCACCCAATGACTTCAACCTCCAAGAGTGTAAGTGCTGTCCCTCGACGCTCTTCTGGTCAGGCTGGGATGTGGTTGTTTCTGTGTGCATAGCACCTGGCCTGCTTTATCCACACCTCCTGGCTACCTCCAAAACACAGCGCTGGGTGCGCATCCGTGGACTGCACTACCTCCAACTGCTTCCAGAGCCCTCATGCACCAGGACACCCGTCCGTCCTGCTCCCATCCCCATCAGGCTGATCGTGCTCTTGAAACCTACCTCTGCCTTCCCCAAGTGACAGACCACCTGCCACTGCGTTCCCCACATCACCAAATGAGCTGCAAACCCACACTCACCATGGAGGGTTGTCACCCTGCAGCATCTTCCCTTAGTGCTGAAGGAAAAGAACAGCACAGCCCACCTTACTGTTGGTTTCCTTTGGGGCTCCATGTGACTTCTCTAGGGCATTTTTCAGGCTCAGATTGTAGTGCTGAAGAGCAGCTGACGTACCAGATGTCAGAGCTAGGCTGTTATGGGAGGGGAAGGTTTTTGACTAGACTGATTTGATTTATTCTTCCTTACCAGCAAACACAGATTGTGTGTGTCCAAGCAGCCCTGCCAGGAGAACTTGTGTGGGACAAGGGGTGATGGCTCTCGAGTCCTCATAATGTCTCCTCAATTCTTCAGTGGCAGCTGTGAGCTGGGTTTCAGATGAGCCTTTTGTACCCTTTAGGAGTTCAGTGTGATTGCAGTCTTTGTGCTTCTTTGCCCTGCCCCATTTCTCCTTAGTCCTTAAGCATGATGGCTGGTCACTCGCTTCCTGTTTTTGCCTTCTCTGCTGCTATCTGTCTTCAGTTTCTGTCTGTCCTTCCCGATATGTGTGGCTTGAGGAACTGCATGGAGATGTGCCTTTCTCTTACCCAGTCTCTTCCTGGCTCTCTGGTGCCTTTCACACATGCACCTTCCCATTCATATTTCATTAATACCAGCCTGAATCTTCCTGTTACAAATCTCTCTGCAAGAGAAGAGGGAAAATCGCAGTGTCAGGGACCTGCCTGAATCTCCACAGCTGTATTTCTCTCTTTCTGCAGTCAACGTGGGTGACTACATTGAGGCGGTGTTGGACAGAAACCTGGCAGAAAACATATCCAGAGTCCTGTACCCAAATGACAACGTGAGTCACTCTCTTGCCTCTCTTTCCTGCTGCTGGGGATCATCCTCCCTGTAGTTGTACCGCCTTGTTTGCAAGCACGGGAAGGTCGTGGCCACTGCTGTTTATTGTTCTGGTTTGAGGATTCTTAATGTAATAGGTTGGCCCCATAATTCTCAGTGAAGAGACACAGCTCTGCTGGCTCCAGAAGGTCTCTGCTGACTGATGGCAGCTCAGAGTCTGGCCCATATTGTATAGCTGATGCCTTCCCTGGTGCAAGGAGGGGAAGACATATTACTCCTTCAAATTCAAGGCAGGTGCCAATTTACATGGCTCACCCTTTGCAAAAGTAAGTTGTCCTTTCCCCTGCCATGAGGCAGGGACTCGTTTCCAGCCCCAGTTCAAGGGATTTCTCACTGCAGGGACTGTCCCAGGCCATGCACTCACTGCACCGGATCCAAAAGGGAAGAGCCCTCACTGTCTGGTCATGGATTAGCAGCTGTGCTGGGAAGGCACATCTCCGCATTTTACCCCTGCCCTCTCATTCCT